TAGCTCTGTAGACCAGGCTGGCCTCAAACTCAGAGATCTGCCTGCTTCTGCCTTCCAAGTGCTGGGATTAAAGGTGTGCACCACCACTGCCCAGCTGAGGAATTGATTCTTTTTTTTTTTTTTTTTTTTTTTTTTTTGTTTTTCGAGACAGGGTTTCTCTGTGGTTTTGGAGCCTGTCCTGGAACTAGCTCTTGTAGACCAGGCTGGTCTCGAACTCACAGAGATCCGCCTGCCTCTGCCTCCCAAGTGCTGGGATTAAGGGCGTGCGCCACCACCCGGCTTGAGGAATTGATTCTTAAGACAATCTTTAGCTAAAAACCAAAATATCCCCAAAGTCACAGATATGAATTTCACATATAGGAGTATGTATTCAAACAAGCTGAAAAGTTCAGGTGATATGCTAATATTAAGCAAGGATGTGGTTTCAATCTGTCTGACTTTGCTTTATAGACTGAAGTCTACAACTTGGTAACTGTGGGTACAATGATCAAAGTATGCCATAGTTCAAGGGCTTCTGGGGCCAGGGTGTATGAGAAGGCAACCATGCTTTTTTAAAAAAAAAAGAAATTAGGTGGTACACTCCTTTAATCCCAGCACTCAGGAGGCAGAGGCAGAAGGCTCTCTGGGAGTTCCTGGACATACAGGGCTATGGAGGGAGGGAGTGGAGGGAGAGAGTGTCAGTCTCAAAAAATAAAAGTCTACAAGGTAGGCTTGGGCCTGGAGCTGGAGCATCTGGTGTCAGGGTAAGAACCCCTAAGACGCACTGACTCAAGCAGGAAGGAGTTCACCATGACATCGCCTCTCTCAGGCATTGGAGAACAAAACAGTAAAAGGAAGCCATGTCAAAGTGTTCTTCCAATACACAGAATTTGACCAGGCTCAGGCAGGCTATGAAGAAGGACAAACGAGTAAACAGAAGTTAAGAAGCACAGAAATAATAAAGGTGAAGGAAATAGTCTTGGAGATGGTAAAGCCAACATTCTGACAGTAGGCGGAGCAGTCTAAAGTGCAGCTTGACAATGGAGCAAAGTGTAGGGAGAGATACCGTGAAAGGAGAGAGTGAAGGCCCCAGAATTATCCTCTGAACTACACACACACACACACACACACACACACACACACACACACACTTGCATGTGCACACATACAGTGATAAATAAAGCATAATTTTAAAAAGGAGAGTCAATGATCTTTTTCCCAGGCATTTATTTCTCATAGCGTCTTAGTAATAACTACTAGTGTAAATGGCTTGCTGCTTCACAAGTTGCTTTCACATGCATTTATTGCATTTTATCTTTATAAATGCCGTGTGGGAAATCCAGGGTTGGCATTAGCCTGGCTTTGCAGATAATTATTATGCCCATTTACTGATGAGAAAATTGAGGCTTAGAAGTTAATAACTTGCTCGGGGCTATGAGCTGACAGGCTCCAGTGGCTGCTTTCTTGACATCTTCTGGTGGTGGTTATGACTCAGTAGTCAGGTAGAGGCCAGACAGCAACCTGGGTCCTCTGTCTGCAAGAGCCACAAGTGATCTTCAGTGCTGAGCCATCTCTCCAGGCCCTTCAGCTGGTGTTAGTATTCAGGCATCTGTACTGGCCTGCCCTTGGGGTCCTGACAGGATGAGCCCTTAGCTGCAGTCACCGAGAGCACTCCCCGTGCATACTTGCGATGTTCCCTTTTAAAAGGTGGGCCTTGCCCACCTCCAGCACTCTGTCTCTGTCTCTCTCTGGCCACTCTTGTCCCCAGGGACCCATCTCTGCCTCCTTCTCTTCTTTTTCTTTGTCCCCTTTTCTGCCCCTTCTCTCTCCTCTTCCAATAAAACTCCCATGTGAGTCCTGTTGTTTGGTGTGACTCCTTTCCTCCTTTCCAGCCTATTTATTTATTTATTTATTTATTTATTTGTTTGTTTGTTTGTTTGTTTGTTTGTTTGTTTTTTGTTTGCTTGTTTGTTTATCTGTTTGGTTTTTCAAGACCTGTAGTTTTGGAACCAGTCCTGGAACTAGCTCTTGTAGACCAGGCTGGCCCGAACTCAGAAAGATCCGCCTGCCTCTACCTCCGCTGGGATTAAGGGCATGTGCCACCACTGCCCGGCTTTCCAGCCGATTTTTTTTAAAAATATTTATTTATTATGTATACAATATTCTTTCTGCATTGTGCCTGAAGGCCAGAAGAGGGCACCAGACCTCATTACAGATGGTTGTGAGCCACCATGTGGTTGCTGGGAATTGAACTCAGGACCTTTGGAAGAGCAGGCAATGCTCTTAACCTCTGAGCCATCTCTCCAGCCCTTTCCAGCCGGTTTTAAATAAATGATAACATCTGGTATTTTAAGAAAGTTTAGGGGCTGGAGAGATAGATAGCTCAGTAGTTAAGAGCATTGCCTGCTCTTCCAAAGGTCCTGAGTTCAATTCCCAGCAACCACATGGTGGCTCACAACCATCTGTAATGGGGTCTGGTGCCCTCTTCTGGCCTGCAGGCATACACACTGACAGAATATTGTATATGTAATAAATAAATAAATATTAAAAAAAAAAAGAAAGTTTAGCTGGGCGGTGGTGGCACACGCCTTTAACCCCAGCACTCGGGAGGCAGAGGCTGGCGGATCTCTGTGAGTTCGAGACCAGCCTGGTCTACAAGAGCTAGTTCCAGGACAGGCTCCAAAGCCACAGAGAAACCCTGTCTCGAAAAACCAAAAAAAAAAAAAAAAGAAAAAAAAAGAAAAAAAGAAAGAAAGAAAGAAAGAAAGAAAGAAAGAAAGAAAGTTTAGCGAGGAAGAACAGCAAGATAACTCAGCTGGTGAAAGCTGGTTCCTTACATTTGATTCCTGGGACGCATGTGGTGAAGGAGAAAACTGACTCTCAAAAGTTGTTCTCTGACCTCTTCACAGGCACTGTGGTATGCGCGTACGCGTGCGCGTGCACACACACACAAAATGTAAATGTAATAAAACCATATATTGCTGAGTGTGGCGGTGCACAACTTTAATCCCAGCACTCAAGAGACAGAGGCAGGTGGATCTCTGTGAGTTTGAGGATATTCTGGTCTACTTAGCAATTCTAGGACTTAGAGACCCTGCCTCAAAAAAAAAAAAAATTCAAAAATGAAAACAAAAAACAAAAACTTGGCAGTGTGGTACAAACCTTTAATCCCAGCACTCAGGAGGCAGAAACAGGTGAGTCTCTGTGAGTTTGAGAGTTTGAGTCCAGCCTGGTATACAAAGTGATTTCCAGGACAGGCTCCAAAACTACAGTGAAACCCTGTCTTGGGAAAAAAAAAAAAAAAAAAAAAAAAAAACAGGAAAAGCAACCAGTAGTAAAAATAAGTGATAGCTTTTAGCCGAGGGCTAGTCTGCACAACCAACTGAACATTTACCCAACCTTAAGAAGCGCAGCGGATAAGCTCTAGCTACTACAGAGCTGCGGGCTAGTCTGCAGGACATTTGATACTTTCCCAGGAGTAGGGAAAGGGACAAAACTCACCTGTGACCTCGTAGACTGTACACACAGGGTGGAATGCAGAATGCAAGCCAGGCCAGACTGTGCCTTAGGTCCCTGTGCTTCCTTTCTGTGTCAGTCTCTCCTTCTACCTCTACTTGTTCTTGTTCTTAAATGATTTTAGGAATACGGGTATTTTTCCTGTATATATGTCTGTGCACCATATGTGTGCCTGGTGCTGACAGGGGCCAGAAGATGACATTATGTGCCCTGGAACTGGAGTGACAGTTGAGAGCTGCTATATGACTGCTGACAATTGAACCCTGGTCATCTGAACAAACAGCCAGTACTCTTAACCTCTGGGCCATCTCTCCAGCCCCATGTCTTCCACCTAGTTTTCTGAGGCAGAATCTCTCTCCTCTCTCTCAAGACAGAGTTGCTGTATAACTTTGGTTGTTCTGGAACTCACTCTGCAGACCAGGCTGGCCTTCAGCTCACAGAGATCCCCCTGCCTCTGTCTCCTGAGTACTGGGATAGCCTGCGCCACCACTGCCCCACGCAGGATCTCCCTTGTTTCTGCCACTGAGATGCCTACTCCAGGCTAGCTGGCCCACAAACATCTGACCTTGTAGACTTCCAAGAAGCCTTATTTCCAGTTGATTCTACTGTCTCCACCTCCTGTCGTGGGGCAGGAATGCTACAATGACAGTGGGTACCACTGAGTGTGGGGTTTCACATTCCAGAGATTGAGTCTGTGAGGTAAGGCTTGCCGGTCAAGCACTTCACTCACTGAGCCATTCCCTAACCTATGTTTGCTTTTAAACTTTATAAGTAAATTAGAGACATTTTTTGTTTGTTTGTTTTTCGAGACAGGGTTTCTCTGTGGCTTTGGAGCCTGTCCTGGAACTAGCTCTGTAGACCAGGCTGGCCTCGAACTCCCAGAGATCTGCCTGCCTCTGACTCCTGAGTGCTGGGATTAAAGGCGTGCGCCACCATCGCCCGGCTTTAGAGACATTCTTTACTTCAAAGGCTGGAGAGGTGGCTCAGGAGTTAGGCGCACTAGCTGCCACATGGCAGCTCACAACCCATGTAACTATGTTCCCAGGGGATCTGATGCCCTGTTCTAGCCTCCTAAGGCACCAGGCACAAACATCCATACATATAAAATAATCAAAATGCTTGTAGTGCCTGAGAGATGGTTCTACTATCAATCTTGTTGCATTTGCAGAGGACCCAAGTTTGATTATCACCACCTGCATAATGGTTTACAATCATCTAGTTCCAGGGGATCCAATGCCATCTTCTGACCTCTGAAGGCACCAGACATGCACATATATGTTACACTTACATGCATGTAGGTAAAACACTCATATACATAATATAAAATTAATTGATTGTAATTCATTTTGCATGGTACAGTGGTGCATGCCTTTTATCTGGCACTCAGGACACAGAAGCAGGGAGATCTCTGTGAATTTGAGACCAGCTAGGGCTACATAGTAAGATAATTTTTATTTTTTAATGTTCTACTTCAGAGAGTTGTGAACATTACGTTTGAGTATTTGATGTGGAACCAGGCACTAGTCAGCACTAAGAATGTTGTTTTATTTAATATTACAGACTAAAGAGTACAGAAAAAAACGCAGTGTGGAAGAAGCTCACTGCAAGGTCACTTCTGAGGCACGTGGTTCAGCCCGCTTTCAGACTCATTAAGCTAGCAGGCACGAGACTAGGGCAGTCACAGCTCCGGTAGCCCTCCCTCTGCTACACAGAGTGGACAGTCGTCACCCTGTCCAGGCTGTCCCATCCTGTCCTGTCCATGGGTGGGCATGAATGCACTGTGAAAGCCCAATGGTCTGAAGGCTGGGACGAGGGGTTCTACCTCAGGGGGAGTGACGGTAATTAGTCAGGTCCTACATTTGATCACAACACAGTCCACAGAAACAAAACATATTAGCAATGGCCTACCGCTAAGGGGTTTGGGAGATGCGGAGTGGACTATTAATGACTACAAATGAGGGAGGAAGGGAGGAAGAACGTTAGGGGGATTATGAACAATATTATGTCCTAAATTATGTCTCTGTCTCTCGTGTGTATGTGTGTAGACCAAAAAAGGTTGATCAGATCCCCAAGGAGCTGGACTTACAGATGGTTGTGTGCTTTCTGTCACAGATGATAGGAATCAAACTCAGGTCCTGTGAAAAAAACGGTATAGCTCTTCAACACTGAACACTCTCTCCAGTGTCTCTGTTTCCCTCCCTTCTCCTTCCCTCCTCTCTTTTTCCCTCCCTTCTCCTCCTTCCCTCCTCTCCATTTTGAGACAGGTTTTCAAGTAGGTAGCCCAGGGTGGTCTCACAACACAGCCAATGAAATTAAGCTCTTGAATTCTTGGTTCTCCTGCCTCTACCTCCTAAACTCTGGGGTTACACACCCAGTTTCACTTTTAATACAATCTCATTTCTTGTGAGTAGCAATATGGACTTCTGTGTGGCTGCCTAGGCGTTGTATAAGCCTGGCTGAGAGCCATGGTCATGAGGGTTGGAAATTACTTCCAGCAATGAGTCAGCCCAGGAGAAAACACGTAGGCTAGTATGAGAAGGCAGTTATCTATATGAATTCATTATCTTAAAATTTTCTTTTTAAATGTGGATGGGTATTTGTCTGTCTGTACGTCTATGTACCACATGGGTGCCTGGTACTGTGAGGCCAGAAAAGGGTTTCTCCAAGGACTGGAGATCCAGAAGGTTATGTGCCACCATGTGGGTGCTGGGAATTGATCTGGAATCCTCTGGAAGAAGAACCGGTGCTCTTAACTGCTGAGCTAACTTTTCAGCTATATAAAGATGTATAAAACAAATATTCCACGCTGTTTGAGTCACAAAGAGCTTAGTGTTTTCCTTTCAAAAGCATCTTCCTTCTCATCTGCCCTTACCGCGGCAGTTAGATTTCGTTCTTAGGTTCCCGGGATGAATGAACAACGTTAACCCTTGGTGGGCTTGCGCCTCTTCTTCAGCCCTCTCCAGACCAGTGACCGACTAGTCTACATTCGATTAGTCCACGTCTGACTTTAAGAGCTCTTCTTCTTCGTTCTTAAGACGGGGAGCACAGTTTTCCAACTCTGTAGCTGTTGCACGGTGGTCTCACACACCGTGGCCCTCCATCCACATTGTAGTCTATAGCCTGTCAGCAACATCCTCAGGACCTCTGGGGTTAAGGAAAAACTGGGTCGAGTGGCTCTCTCTTGGCAGGCCGGCACTCAGGAGGCTGGGCTTCAGGATCTGGAGTTTGGGGCCAGGCAGGGTAGCACAGTGAATATTGCATTAAAAATAAATAAATAGGACTGGAGAGATGTCTCAGCAGTTAAGAGCACTAGCTGCACTTCCAGAGGACCCAGGTTCAATTCCCAGCACCCACACGGTGGCTCACGGCCATCGACAATGGCATCCGATGCCCTCTTCCACCATAAAGACATACATGCATGTACATAAAAGAAATAAAATCTTTAAAAATAAATAATGAGAGAAAGTGGCCAACAGGAACCGAATCACACCCCTAAAGAAAGGCGATTTAAAAGCCAAATTCTGTATTCTCTTGCCAAGCACTGAAAACAGCAGCTTGAACTGAAATAAAACAGAGGAAAGAAAAATACCGGGTAACCGGAGCTTGTCTCCTCCGGAACCCGCAGGCTCCTGGCTGCTAGCGTTTGCGCTGCGCACCCTGCTGACACAGGAGATTTAGCAGCTAACCTTGCAGGGGGACCGGAAAGTTCTGACAGCGCAGGCGCCGCGAGGAGTCACAACTTTCGCTACGGCGCAAGCGCTGGAGGAGGCTGCCCTCCAAACCTGACCGTTGGGGCGGCCGGAGCCCCACTGCGCAGGCGCCGCGCTCGGCACCATGGCGGCGGCGTTGCTGCTATGGCGCGCGCTCCGCCACAGCTCGGGGCCAGGGTCCAGGCGCTTATGGGGTCTACTCTCGACCATGGGCCCAGGCCTCTCATCCGGGGCTTGGAGCAGGCGACCATATACGGTCCGCGGGACTCCGGTTGGCACTGCTGCGGCTGAAGGCCAAGCGCCGCAGGTAACCTGCCCGGAACCTAGCGGTGGCGGCGAGTGTCGCCGGTCTCCGCGGACCGGATGTGCGCCTCACCTTCCTCTTTCGGCAAGGCCTCTGCTAGGCCTGCCCTGCTGCGTGGTGCGGGAGGAGGGCTGATGTGGGCTTCCCGCGTGAGGCACAGCCTCGGGTGGTTCTGCCGTGTGTGTGTGTGTGTGTGTGTCACATTTCAGGGCAATGTCAATATTACAGATAAATATTGACTTGAACTTTTTAAAGCAGAGCCAAGTGGTACACACTTGCAATGTCAGCATTTACTGGGAGACGGAGGCCAGGAAGACGGAAAGGTTGTGTGTTGGAGATTGACGCTAGTCTTGTGATCCTCAGCCTATGGTTGAAAATTATTGGCTTTTGTTGTTATTTCCTTTATGTTTTTTGACCGAATGCAGGTGACATTTATTTATGGAACTGACAGGCGAGCACTCTAGGCCCCTCTTCTTGGGAGGCAGGTCTGGAATGGGAATTCTGAGGAGGGGAAGAGTCCTCAGCACTGGATGGCCTCCCCTTTCCTTTTATGTTTTTCCTGGGATGGGTGGTCCAGGGTTCTTACACCCTGAAGACCATGTCGTGCACCACCTGTTGCCGTAGCCAAATTCACTGTGCCAGTAAATGAGTTCGACACAATGGTAGTTGAGTGGAATGAAAGCCTCAGCATTAAAGGTGGAAGAATGGGTGTCACTGTTGAGATCTCAGAAGACATCTCGATCCTCAGTGTAGCCCAGGGTGCCCCGGAGGGAGTCCCTCTGATACCTGCTTCACCACCTTCTTGATGCCGGTATGTTTGGCAGCCCTCTCCAGGTGGTAGGTAAGATCCAGAGCAGACGATGGAATGGATAGCTATTCAGGAGGCCATGCCAGTGAGCCTTCTTCCTGCTCATCTCTGGGATGACCCCACCCACATCTTGACAGTGCCAATGGATGCAAAGACGATGTTTTGGGCACCTCCACTGCCTTCATGCTGACTTCCCAGAGAAGCCATGTAGTGGTAGTGATGGCATGGATTCTGGTTATGAGTTGTTCAGGACATCAAAGTTGACATAGATGGCCCTGGCCATCAGGGCTAAGCAGTGGTGCAGGAGGCATTGTTGGTGTTTTTTTTTTTTTTTTTTTTTGAGACAGGTTTCTCTGTGTAGTCCTGACTGTCCTGGAGCTCTTTTGTTTGTTTGTTTGTTTGTTTTGTTTTTTGTTTGTTTTCTAATAAGATTTATTTATTTGCTACGTATACAGTGTTCTGCAAGAAGAGGGCACCAGATCTCATTACAGATGGTTGTGAGTCACCATGTGGTTGTTGGGAATTGAACTGGGACTTTTGGAAGAGTAGGCAGTGCTCTTACTGCTGAGCCATCTCCCCAGCCCCCCTGGAACTCATTCTTTAGTCCAGGCTGGCTTCGAATTCAGAGATCCACTTGGCTCTGACTCCCAAGTGCTGGGATTGAAAATGTGTGCCATTGCTACCTGGCTTGTTGATGCTCTTGACTGAGTTGTAGTTCATAGCGATCACAAAGATGGTAGGGTAACTTCAGCCCAGGGCCAAGGATGTTGACCTTTTGGCTTCCCCTGTCAAGTGGACCTAGCCTTCTCCATGGCAGTGAAGAAACAGTAGACTTCACAGTATACTCACCAGTCTGACCCATTTGGTGTTGGTGGGAGTATGGCTACTGGAAGATGGAGATAGCCTTCCCATTGATAACAGGACTCCAATTCTTAGCCTTTACTGTACCGTGAATCAAAAAAAAAATGTTAAATTGGATTGTTGATCTTAGCATTTAAAGGTTGGTGGGTCATGGTGGTGCACGCTTTTACTCACAGTGCTCAGGAACAGAAGCAGGTAGACATCTATGAATTCAAGGCCAGCTTGATTTATGTGTCGTGTTCCGTGCTAGACCAGCCAGGGCTACATGTAAGACCCCGTCTTGTAGGGGAAAAGAGCATAAAAGGCTAAGCCAATCTGGAGCATACCTATAATGCTATATTTGGGAGGCAGAGATGGAAGATCAGGATTTTTTTTTTAAAGATTTATTTATTAAGTATACAGTGTTCTGCCTGTATGCATGCCTGCAGGCCAGAAGAGGGCACCAAATCTCATTACAGATGGCTGTAAGCCACGATGTGGTTGCTGGGAATTGAACTCAGGACCTTTTTTTTTGTTTGTTTTTTCGAGACAGGGTTTCTCTGTGGTTTTGGAGCCTGTCCTGGAACTAGCTCTTGTAGACCAGGCTGGTCTCGAACTCACAGAGATCCGTCTGCCTCTGCCTCCCAAGTGCTGGGATTAAAGGCGTGCGCCACCAACCACCCGGCTGAACTCAGGACCTTTGGAAGAGCAGGCAGTACTCTTAACCACTGAGCTACCTCTTCAGCCCCGGAAGGTCAGGATTTTAAAGCCATCCTCAGCTACAGAGTTATTTGGGGCCAGCCTGAACTATACGAGGCAGTTAAAAACAACAAAACCAAAAACAAAACAGGCTCTCTGGGTTGATGGCGCATGTTTGTAATCCCAGCACTTGGGAGACTGGTGCAGGAGGATCACTGAGTTTGAGGCCAGACTCTGTCACAGAGGTGGGGTTATAGGCATCTACCACTATATATACTTTTATGGGATACTGGGGATCAAACTCATAGCTTTCTGCATGGTTTGTGGGGACTACCAACTGGTCCATATCCCCAACCCTGTGTTGTTTTGGTATGTGGTCTTAGTGTTACCTCAGTCTTTTTTTTTTTTTTTTTTTTCTTTTTACAGAACTTGCTATTTCGAATACTGACCCCTAGCTTTGGAAGTATTAGCGGATTGTTACTGAAACAGCATATAGTGCCAAATGCAATCAGACCATGGCAGCTTTCAGGTGTGTATCTATGCGTTGCATGTGTCCCTAGTGATGGACACAGATTTTACTGTAGTCCTATTAGATATAATGGAAGAGGAGCATGGTCTAGTATGCTTGTAATCCCAGCACTAAAACGGGGGCTGCCAGTTGGAGACTAGCCAGAATTAGCTAGTGAAACCCTGTCCAAAAAAAAAGAGTTTGGGTTGCTGAAACACAGTACTTACTATAGTGAGTAGAGTAGCCTAGGAGAAACTCTACTGGCCTACGTGTGCAGCAAAATCTGCCAGCTCAGTCTATATAGATACACTGTGATCAAATCTAAGGATGTAGTCTCCTTGGCAAGGGACAAGTGACCATTAGAAGAATGTTGCTAGTTTGACATTGCCCAGAAAACTAAGAACAGCCACCATAAAAAACCCTGAACTTCTGACCTTTTTAGTGCTGAGATTACAGGTGTGTGCCACTGTGTCTGGTTTTATGTGATGATAGGGATTGGACTCAGAACTTTGTGCTTGGTAGGCAAGTACTCCACCAACTAAACTATTCTTATTCCAACCTTTGGTTCTTTCTGTTAGTCTTTGGATAATCTGAAGTGATGTTCATAAATAGATTGAATACTTTGTCATCCTGCCTTTACCTTGCCAGTGGTAGAGTATAGAAATATGCCACTATTCACCTGGTTTTTTGTTTTGTTTTGTTTGTCTGTCTGTTTTTGTCTTTGTGAGACAAGGTATTAATTTGTAGTCCAGGCTAGCCTTGAATTTATAATCCTGTGTTCACCTTCTAAGTGTCGGGATTACAGTATGTGCCGCCAGGCCTGACCTATTTTTGCTTGTGTTTTGTTTAGCAACTGTGTGTGTGTGTGTGTGTGTGTGTGTGTGTGTGTGTGCGCGCGCGCGTGTGTGCAAACGGGTACCCCCTGTGGATCTCTCCTACCATGTGAGTCCTAGGAATCAGACTGAAGTCATCAAGCTTGACAAGTACCTTTACCCATTTCTCCATCTTAATTAGCCCTCATTTTAAAACTGAAGTGGTGGAGACTGGTGGGGTGACTCAGCAGGTAAGAACATTAACTACGTTTTTAGAGGACCCAGTTTGGTTCCCATGGCAGCTCACAGCCATCCTAATCCCTATTGTAGAGGCTCCAACCCCTCCTGACCTTCACTAGCACAGCACAGATGGTACCCAGCTGTGCACATGTGCAGAGATGTACATGCAGGCAAACGCCCACACACATATAATAAAAATGAATAAAGCATGAAGTGGAAGTCGGGTTTCATTGTTCTTTTTTTTTTTCTCTTTGAGATGGGGATTCTCTGTGTGGCCCTGGCTGTCCTAGAACTTTCTTTGCAAAACAGCTTGACCTCAAACTCAGATCCTGCCTCTAACTCCCAAGTGCCGGGAATAAACTCTAACAGTGTCTCTGCTTTAGTTCAGGGGGACATCCAGGGTTGGTGCCAGAATTTCGCTCCTTTGCCTAGTTGGACTAGGGAACAGTGGAATGCTTGGCTCCTAATTCGAAGGAGGCAACCTGTGTTGGCACTGGGCTCATTTGCTTGAGTTTCATTTGAATTTCATCCCGGGTTCAGTGACTCTGAGATAAACATGAATAGCATCAATATACCCCACTATCCAAAAACAATGCTGAGTTCTAATGGAAATAAGTATAGTTCTGCTTTTGCACCTGTTAATGTTTTTATGGAGAAAGTTAGACTCAGGGCTGGAGCTGTGGCTCATAGGTTAAAAATACCCCTCTTCCAGGGGACTTGAGTTCAGTTCCCAACATCCACATTGGGTAGCTCACAACCATCTGTAACTCTGTGTTCTAAATTCCATGGGATCTGGCACCTGGTTTCCTCAAGGCATGCATGTGTTACATATACTGACAGGTAGACAAAATACCCATGTAGATAAAAGTTTTGTCTTTTTAAAATTAATTTTTAATTTTTTGTTCATTTATTATTATTTATTTTAGTTTTTCAAGACAGGGTTTCTGTGTAGCCATAGCTGTCCTGGAACTTACTCTGTAGACCAGGCTGGCCTCGAACTCACAGAGATCCACCTGCCTCTGCCTCTGAAGTACTGGGATTAAAGGTGTGTGCCACCATCACCCAGTTTGTTCATTTATTTTGAAATAGGCAGGGTTTCTCTGTACCGTCTCTTGCTGTCCTGGAACTTGATTTGTAGACCAGGCTGGCCTCAAATTGAGAGATCTGAGTGCTAAAGGTATGTGCCAATACACCTGGCTAAATTATAATATACATACACATACATATATGTATATGGATAGAAAAGACTTGATGTCATGGTCATTTTTCTCCCCCATCTGTTGAGACTTTGGGCAAGACCAAGCCTTTCCCGTGCAGCCTTATGCCAGCCTAGGCCTGGCATTGACGACTGGTAGCCACAGTTGCCAAACCATTTGGGTCATTCTACTGCTTAAATTCACTTAAAATTGATCTCTAGTAAGCTAGTGTCATTGTCCTTTTTGTTTTTTTTTTTTTTTTTTTTTTAAGACAGGGTTTCTCTGTGGCTTTGGAGCCTGTCCTGGAACTAGCTCTGTAGACCAGGCTGGCCTCGAACTCACAGAGATCACCTGCCTCTGCCTCCCGAGTGCTGGGATTAAAGGCGTGCGCCACCACCGCCTGGCCACTTGTGTCATTTTCAAACTCACATCTGTAACACCTTTTTTTCTTCTGGTGACTTAGGGATTAAACCCAGCATGTGTTCTGCCACTGAGCTATATTCTCTAGTTCTGTATTCTCTCACATTAGCTAATTTAAAAAAAAAATTTTTATTTTTGTTTCTTTTTGGAGATGTGTCATGTAGTTTATGCTTATGTCCAGCACTTTGTAACCCAGGTGGCATTGAAGCCAAGGTGATCTGTCTGCCTGCTGAGTGCTAGTATTACAGGCCTTAGCTACTATACCTGACTAGCCAGTTTGTTGCTTTATTTAGAAATATTTTTTAGATTTATTTATTTTATGTGTGTAAGTGTTTTACCTGAATGTTTGTTGTGTGCCACAGGTATTCCTGCCACCTGAGCAGTCAGAAGAGGGTGTTAGATCCCTGAAACTGAAATTCTGGTTGGTTGTGAACAGCTGTGTGGGTGCTGGGAACTGAACCCAGGTCTTCTGCAAGAGCGGCAAGTGCTCTTAGTTGCTGCGCTATTTCCAATCCCATTTTACTTTTTTAAAAATAGAAAACTTTTTCAGTGTGTGTGTGTGTGTGTGTGTATGTGTGTGTACACGTACATGAATCCAGATACCCACAGAGGCCAGAAAGAGGGCATTAGTGCTGGATTATCTGGAGCTGTAGTTATAGGTAGATGGCTGTGAACTGCCAAACCTGGAATCCGCTTGCTAGAGAAGTATGTTCCAACCTCTAGCTATCCAGTTTAGGTAGCACAGATTTGTCTTTATACATTAATGGTTCATTATTCTCTCATCAGCAGATACCGTAGTGTACATAGAAGGAAGTGCTGCAATGCCTCCATGCAGCAATTCTCAGGCACAGGTTCCAAAAGGTTTCTGTTGTTATAGGGTTTTTTGTAGACACGCTGCCTTCTTGTAAGTCTCTTGTAGCTGCAAACTTAATTCTTTTCTTTTTATTATAGGTAGTACTTACTATTTTAGCACCTCACGAATGAAACAGAAGAATAAGGACAATAATAAACCCAAAGGCAAGGCCCCTGAAGATGATGAAGGTACATCTGCCTGATGTTTGAAGTACCTGTCCCTCTTGTGCCCCCTTGTGTACTCGCCTCTTAGTAGGGTGAGACTGTTAAGAAAGGCACAGTTGATTGCCTGTTCCTGTGTGAACTGCCCTACTTCTGTGATTGCCGAGCCTTTGTTCTCTCAGAGATGTCTCTGTGGACACCTGTGTCCCTCTGTCACATTCAGGAAAGGGTAAATCCTAAATCCTGGGAGTGGGGACTGTGGTGACCAGCCCGACGCACACTGGCTAGTGTTCCTACTGTTGCTGAGTGTGAGGCCAGCTAGCAGATGAGTGAGGAATGGGCCCATGAGTGGGATGGGTTTGCAGTGGAAGGGTCACCACCGTTTACAAGCCTGTACTGCCCTGTTCCAGTTCACAGCCACACTCGGGGAGACTGTGGATGCCTTCATATCTTAGGTGTCACCTTGCTGGAATTAGGACTCATGCAGGAGTATAAAGCATGTAGAAAATTAATGTTTGAACTGAACTTCTAGAGTTTATTAAGTTTCTTAGCTAGAAGCTGTTTGTTTTCTGTAAGGTTTTTAGAGCCAATAATGTTGGAAATTGTCTACCCTTAGATATAGTATGTGCTTAGCATTGTACTAAGTGGTTTTCATACATTGTCCCATTTAATTCTGTTCTCAAAATAGAGCAAATTCTAAATGAATTAAGTGTATTTTCTTTTTTTAAAAAACAAAAAGACTAATTTTATTTGAATTACAAGATAATACATACTTTTCTGTTTTATCCAAAGATACCCATTTTGGCCCACACATAAAACTATAAATGTGTACACTATGAAATCATGACCTCCAACACTGCTTCCATGAATTCTTTGAGACAACCTTATGAAAGCAGCTCAATGGAGCGAGCGAATGGAGACACAGCAGAGCACTGTTCTGGACTGAAGTCAATACCCACTGTACAAAACTCCTGTAATGGCAGACATTCCCCACACTTTTTTAAGATTCAGCAGCACAACAGTATTTAAGATACACAGAATCTGTTTTCAGACACTGAATTCTGGGACCTTACTGGGCATCTAAAGATTTATCAACGTCCTCCTGGTCACTCTTTCCTATTCATTTTCGTTGCAACTTAAGCGTGTAGTTTTTCACTACTCAACCAGATAGTATATTCACATCTCTTAGACCTAAGGATCAAGTTTTTCAACCACCGTAGATCTAGAGAGCAGTGGGATAAACATCTCAGGTACGACTTAGGTACTTGTAGAAGACAATTTAAGTGTTATTTTCTTACTTTGTTTGTGTGAGGTGAGACTGTCTCACTTGGACCAGACCGGCTTTAAACTTGTATCAGTACTTCTGCTTCTCTCTCCTGAGTGGATGCTGGTGTTCTGGGCATGCACTGTCATGCTCACCTCTGTTATTAAGTCTAAAAGGCATAGCTGGGTCTGGGAGCTGGGTCAGTGAGTAAAGCACCTGTTGTACAGGTGTGAGGAGTCTGGGTCCACAGCTCCCATGTAAACACTGGGCAGTCTGGCAGCCTCTCTGTAAATCTCATCATCGGGGAGCACAGCTAGGGAACTCTGGCCCAAGCTGACTGGCTGGACTGTTGAATCACCAAGCTCTGGTTCAAGTAGAAGATCTTGTCTCAGTATATAGGATGGAGAACAATCAAGGAAGTCGCCTGACTGGCCTCCACATGCACACCTATCCACACATGTGCACTCATACTTACATACTCAATCACACACATAGTTTTTTTGTTTGTTTTTAAGCAAAACTAAGAAGACTTAGAACATACAAGTGAACATTTCACATCTTGAAGTAGAAAAGACTTCTCTTCTTCCTTCTCCATTTTTTGACATAAAGTATCATGTAGCCTCCAGGCTGACCTAGAACTCACTGTGCAGTTGAGGCTTCCTTGAACTGATCCTCCTGCCTCAGCTTCCCAAGTGCTGTGTTTATAAATGTGTATTTCTGCTCTGGCTTGGCTGGGTGTTTTTTGTTTGTTTGTTTTGCTTGTTTATTTGTTTTTGTTGTTTGTCTTATTCTGTAGCCCTGGCTGACTATTGCCTCAGGCCCTCAAGTGTTGGGATTATAAATCTTTATGCCTGACTTTTTTAATTTTTACTTTATTTTATTTTAGACAAGGTTTCTCTGTGTAACCTCCCTGGCTGTCCTGGAACTGGGTACCTTGAATTGAAGACCAGGTTGGCCTTGAGTTCACAGACTTCTGCCTGTCTCTGCCTGTCTCTGCTGGGATTAAAGGTGTGCACCACCACCACCTGGCTAGAAAAGAAACTTCTGATAGATGGCAGTGGTTAAGAGCACTTACTGCTCTCACAGAGGACCATGGTCATTTCCCAGCATCTCACAGCCATCGAGGCCGTGCTCTTGTTCTAGGTGCTCTGCTCGCCTCTTCTGGGCTCCATGGGCTCCTGCATGCATGAAATGCACATGAATTCACACACAGACAATAAATAGATTTCAAAACTTTTCAGGCTATCTCCTAAAGAGAATGCCTCCATTGTTTCTGCAAGGTGAGACTTGTCCAGGTTTCTCTGCAGGTCATCAGTAGTCACAACGAATGGTGTGGGTCTAGAACTAGCCACATGTGCTCACAGCAGGAAGGATCTGAGCCTGAGAATCTGGTGACTCTTCCCTTGGGATTCAGTAGCAGCATTTTGTCTTTATATGCCTGAACCAGTGACCTATTTAGCAATTGACAGCCTCCCCCTGACTCCCCGGAATGCTATTAGTCTTCTGTGTTGCTGACTGGTGGATGTACCATGTGATAGCTTTGATGGAGGTTCATGCCTTAATCAGATTGGAGACAGTGTGACATCAGACACTCCGGCAGGAAAAAAACTGTGCTGTGAACTTTCTGAGCTAGTATATTATTCAGCCCAAAGACGTGCAAGAAATATGTAGGAAGAAGTACTTAGGGGCTGTAGATTTGGCTCAGTGGTTAAAAGAGTTCTATTGCTATTGCAGAGGATATGAATTTAATTCCCAGCACCAACTGCCTGAAATTCTAGTTCCAGGGGATCCATCCATCACCTTTTTTGGCTCTGCAGATACTGTACTCAAAGGTACAAACCCACACTTAGACATACCCATAATTAAATTTTTATTTATTTATTTATTTATTTATTTTTTGGTTTTTGGTTTTTCGAGACAGGGTTTCTCTGTAGCTTTGGTGCCGATCCTGGAACTAGCTCTTGTAGACCAGGCTGGCTTCGAACTCACAGAGATCTGCCTGCCTCTGCCTCCCGAGTGCTGGGATTAAAGGCATGCGCCACCACCGCCCGGCTATTTTTTGGTTTTTCAAGACAGGGTTTTTCTGTAGCTTTTGGAGCCTGCCCTGGAGCTAGCTCTTCTAGCCCAGGCTGGCCTCAAACTCACAGAGATCCACCTGCCTCTGCCTCCCGAGTACCGCCCGGCTAATTAAAAATATTTAAGAACAATCTGAAGCGTTTTTTATATTTATTTATTTATTTATTTATTTATTTATTTATTTAGTTATTATGTATACAATGTTCTGTCTGTATGCCTGCAGGCCAGAAGAGGGCACCAGACCTCATTACAGATGGTTGTGAGCCACCATGTGGTTGCTGGGAATTGAACTCAGGACCTTTGGAAGAGCAGGCAATGCTCTTAACCGCTGAGCCATCTCTCCAGCTCCCAATCTGAAGTTTTGAAATCACAGATACAAATAAACATGGCACAGATCATTGAGGGACAGTTGGGATTGGGGAAGAGTTGAGCACTGGGCATCAAATGCCAGTTTCTAGTCCATCCCAGGGTCAGGGTTCACTCTTGTGTCTTGTGATGGGATCATGGGAATAGAAATGAGGGACAATAAGATATTCCTAGGGCCTAGGGTATGAATTATATTTATTGATTTTTGACTTTTTGAAATTGAGAGAGAAATGCTCTCAATTTTTTAGCACAGGCTAGACCTGAACTTTCAACTTCTTGCTGAAGCCACCCAAAGTGCTGGAATTACAGTTAGTACAGATATACAACATAATTCTTGCCCAACCCCCTAACACAAGACAAGGGTTGTATATGCTCAGGCTGTTTTTGTGTATAGATGTTTTGTCTACATATGTGTCTATGTACCACATGTGTGCCTAGTGCCCTGGGTCTAGAGTTCTAGACCACTGTGAGTCTCCAGTGGGTGCTGGGAATTGAACCCAGGTCTTCTGGAAGAACAGTCAATGCTCCTAACATCCGGCTGTCTTCCCACCCAACCTACAGTCCTAAGCAGTTTTTGAACTCACTGTGTAGCAGAGGATGACATTCCATCTCTACCAGTCCTCAGACTGCACACTCCAGTGAGTTCCTGTCTCTTCCCCTTTATATTCCTCTCATTGCCCAGCTATCACTCCAGTCTCCACCTACTTTGTGCTGGGATTAAAGGTGTGTGACTCCCAAACATTGGGATTAAAGGTACAAGCCACTACCACCTGGATCTGTTTCTGGAATGTCTTCCTTTTGGTCTGAAGATTTGGTAGAGGTAAAAGATCTCTGTAGTGGTTAGCTACTTTGCTTTTCTGATCTTCAGGTTGAACCCCAATATCTGTCTCTGGGTTTTTATTATTTGTGCTAAGGGAATGAGAGGATGGGGAGAGGCTGCAGCCAGGATATAAAATAAATAGATAAGTAAAAAAAAATTAAAAATTAAAAAAAAAGGTGTGCACCCATGCCAGGTCTAGGATAGCTCTCGAAAACAGGCAGAAACTTGGGATTCATTAGGACACAGATCCTGCCCTTCCTTTGCTGAGCATTCCTAAGGAGAGAGATAGAAGTGAGACCCTGCTCATGTGAGAATGTGCCTGGGCTTACTCCTGATGTGCCTGATTCTCCCTGTGTTCTCTTCAGAGGAGAGGAGACGAAAAGAGCGGGAAGACCAGATGTATCGTGAGAGGCTGCGCACCTTGTTCATCATTGCTATTGTGATGAGTCTGCTAAACTCCCTCAGTACCAGTGGGGGCAGTATTTCCTGGGCCGACTTTGTCAATGAGATGCTGGCTAAAGGCGAGGTGCAGCGTGTGCAGGTGGTACCCGAAAGTGATGTGGTGGAAGTCTATCTGCATCCTGGAGCCGTGGTGTTTGGGCGGCCTGTGAGTTGGGGTGAAGGCCTTGGGGAGACTGGGAAGGTTGGGAGTATCCCCTTTTTAATCAACCCTTCAATCCTGGACTTGCCTGGCTGTCTTTAACATGATGTGTATAGAGTAGGGCTTGATGCAGGGTTTGAGCAGTGCTTGTTAAGGTGGAGCCGAGGGAAGGTAGTCAGAGAGCTCTTGACAGGAAAGCGCTCTGATGGCAGGCATGTCAGAGTGAAAGAGGAGAAGACCAGTGATAATTGATTCTGAACAATATCTCGTTGGTGTGAGAGGATAAGGAGCTGAGACCACTGCAGCCAGAAGTCGTACTGAATCCGCCTGGGTATGTGCAGAGCTTTTGTTTCCGGTCCCGAAGATTTGGGAGTGCTAAGGTGGCAGGGAGCTACTACAAACAGTTTGCAGCAAAGCTCTTAAGTGGCCGGTTGGCAGGGATGGGTGCAGAAATAGGTAATCTGCCCTGTGAGGTATATAACAAAATGCAAGTTAGTAAAGGGCTGGAACTCAGAGAGGACAGAGAGGGATTGTGCTCACACCAAGCTCCCCGCTTGAGAACGCTGGAAGAAGACACATGATGGGGCAGGGGATGGGGTTCAGATCAGGTGGGGGGGGGCTCAAGGTCAGAGAGCAGGGACCTGCCCCAGCCCCAGGGCGAGAGTGCTCAGTGTCTAACAGTTGAAGGTGGAGACTGGCCTCAGAGGACAGCCAATTGACAGTGAGCCCTATCCTGCTCTGCTTCAGTTTTAGTCTCTCTTATTTCTCCCCCAGTGTCGTGTACCGTTATGGAGTCCTGAAAGCTTTCCTGCAAAGATACTGTCTAGAGCATATTTGCTGTCCATTTTTCTGAATTGTTTCTATGTGAGCCTTAAAACTACTTGGGTATACGATTAATTAGGACGCTGACTTTTTTTTTTTTTTTCGAGACAGGGTTTCTCTGTGGCTTTGGAGCCTGTCCTGGAACTAGCTCTGTAGACCAGGCTGGTCTCGAACTCACAGAGATCCGCCTGCCTCTGCCTCCCAAGTGCTGGGATTAAAGGCGTGCGCCACCACCGCCCGGCTTGACTTTTTTTTTTTTTTTTTGCAGAGCCTTACTATGTAGCCCTGGCTAGTCTGGGCCTTACTATGTAGACCAGGCTCACCTCAAACTCCTAGAGACTCACCTGACTTTGCCTCCCAAGTTCTGGGATTGAAGGTGTATGTTATCATACTCAGTCAATGGACCCTGAATTTTTTTTCTTTTATATTATATTGTTCTCCTGTTTTATTGGGTAGCAGGAGAGTGTAACTCTGAGAGGCCACCTGGCTGCTCTCCCCTGCTCCAGGTAACCACTCCAGGCTATAGGCATGGTCTCTTTGCAGGCTATATTGACTGGAATGAACCTATTCTTCCAGTGTGCTGTATTTTCTTTCAACAGGCCTATTCTGTACCCCAAAAGGACACCATGAGATTCCTCTTACCTGGATGTGGGTGGTGTAAATGGTCCAGCAAGTTTGATTACATCAGTTCTGTGCTGATAATTTTAAGAACTGAAGCCATAGGATCAATACACACTGTCAAACAACAAAAGCTAAATCCATCTAACCAAGCCGGGCGGTGGTGGCGCACGCCTTTAATCCCAGCACTTGGGAGGCAGAGGCAGGCGGATCTCTGTGAGTTCGAGACCAGCCTGGTCTACAAGAGCTAGTTCCAGGACAGGCTCCAAAACCACAGAGAAACCCTGTCTCAAAAAAACAAAAAAAAAAGAAAAAAGAAAAAAATAAATCCATCTAACCATAAAAATGAAGGCATGACACAAGAAGCACCTCCCACAGACACCTGCCTACCCACATCAGCACAGGTGCACAGAGAAGCACCTCCCCCAGAAACCTGCCTACCTACCTCAGCACAGGTGCACAGAGAAGCACCTCCCCCAGACACCTGCCTACCCACATCAGCACAGGTGCACAGAGAAGCACCTCCCCCAGAAACCTGCCTACCTACCTCAGCACAGGTGCACAGAGAAGCACCTCCCCCAGACACCTGCCTACCCACATCAGCACAGGTGCACAGAGAAGTACCTCCCCCAGACACCTGCCTACCCACATCAGCACAGGTGCACAGAGAAGCATCTCCCCCCCCCCATACCTGCCTTCCCACATCAGCACAGGTGCACAGAGAAGCACCTCCCCCCATACCTGCCTACCTCAGCACAGGTGCACAGAGTAGCACCTCCCCCAAACACCTGCTACACCTGCCTACATCAGCACAGAGGTTCAGGCTTTGCAGAGGGACCTGGGTGAGGCTGGTGCAGAAGGTCCTGGACACTGCAGAGAATGTAGGTTTTGAATTGACTTCTGAAATAAGATACTTTGGGCTGGAGAGATGGCTCAGAGGTTAAGAGCACTGGCTGCTCTTCCAGAGGTCCTGAGTTCAATTCCCAGTAACCACATGGTGGCTCACAACCATCTGTACTGAGATCTGGCTCCTGGGCATACATCGAGGCAGAATGTTGTATACATAATAAATAAATCTTTAAAAAAAATGAAATAAGATACTTTGTGCTGGAGTCTGGCATAATAAAGAGGGTCATTTCAACCCTTTTCTCTGTGCACCTGTGCTGATGCAGGTTGGTGAAGCTATTTGGGAGTTAGAATGGCTTGATGTATTGGGAAAGCCCAGATCAGACATCTAGGATCAGTAAATCCTGAAAGTAACTTATGGGTGCTTCATCTAATGTGCAAAGGGAGGAAATATAAATTATGGTTAAAATATTTAATTGCCCCCTTACTGTCATCTCCACCAAGATGTCACCACCACACTGAGCCATGACACATCGAAGACTTGTCTGAAACTATAGGGCTGAGCCACCCATCATCCATCATTGGCTCGAGTTAAATCCAGGAATGTCTTAGAATTTGAGCTCCCAATAATGTAACGGGGTAATATGTGGGAAGTGATGAAAGTGACATGAGCCCTGTCAGAATCCAAGGCCAACCTGAGTTATACAGCAAGACTACTGTATCCAGAAGCAAAAGCAGTAAACCTGAAACTAGTGACTCATACTGGCCATGGGGATAATTGTGACTTCCTGGTGGTGAGTCCCACATGCCAGGGTAAAATTTTACTTAGTACAAAGCATTTCCATCAGAAAGGGCATCTCCTGAGATGGTCATTCTAGGCTGGGCTTGAGAAAACTAGAATTTTTTAGACATGGAAGTGCTGTCTACAGTGTCCACTTGGGAGCCCTGGGTCACATAGTGTGCCAGCTCTGAGTACTGACCTTTCACTCTCTCCTTGCCCGCTCTCCATTTTGTCCTCAGCGGCTGGCCTTGATGTACCGGATGCAGGTTGCAAATATCGACAAATTTGAAGAGAAGCTTCGAGCAGCTGAAGATGAGCTGAACATCGAAAGCAAGGACCGGATTCCGGTTTCCTATAAGCGAACAGGATTCTTTGGAAAGTATGTTGGTTGTTTATGGACTTGACTTTGTAGTGTGAGCCACACTGAACAGACAGCAAATCCTGAGCTGACTGCTGGATCCCTTTGGGGAGGTCCCGAGTGTGAGAGTAGAGAGGCTGCAGATGTGGACGTGCAAATCCCTAGAGCGTTCACTTTGTTTAGTTGTCTATGGTCTGTGGTAGTTCTTAATCAGATGCGCCAAGGTTGCTGTTTTCTGTAAAGGAAGATAGAACAGAAGGAATAGAAAGGGTCTCAGTCAGTAGAAATTCTTTCAGTGGCATTTTAGCACTGTTTGTATACTGTGAGGGACCATGGAACCCATAGGCATTGCTCAGCCAACAGTGATGAAGCCAGCGTCTAAAGAAAAGGTTATTGTGAGTTTGTAACCTGGGATGCACAAGCCGGCATCTAGCAGGTATTCCTTTGACAATAGCTTGATAGCCTCATGGCCCAGATGCTAAATCCGCCCACCTTGTGACTGATCTGGTTTTATTGTCAAGTGACAGAGAGGTATGGGGCAAGTCATGGGTGGTCCTCTTCTTCCTTCTCAAATAGAGAGCCTAATCCAGAGTTTAAGTTTGTTAAGTTTTATTTGTTTACTAATTGAAAATGACAATATAATATTAGCCATAGAAGAACCTGCTTTTGTTGGGCATTGTCACATGGCAGGCTAAGTAAGCCTTTGTACATGCAGTGTAAACACTTGAAAAGCTTGTGGAAGAGGGACTGTGGTAACAGTGGGACAGGAGACCATGTTTGCACAACTGCTTACCTTCTGCCTTGCCCTCGGAGCTAGAGATCCCAGCTTTGTTCATCAGTTGCCCTGACAATGAATTCATCCCTATAACTCTGCCTTTCCTTTTTACGCAGTGCCCTCTACGCCCTGGGGATGACAGCAGTGGGCTTGGCCATTCTGTGGTATATTTTCAGACTGACTGGGATGGCAGGAAGGGAAGGCGGATTCAGTGCTTTCGTAAGTTGTACTGCTGGAGGTTTGTGTGTGAGAACTTGAATTCTTCTCTAAGCCTATAGAAAAGTCCTCGGGAGCTGGGCGGTGGTGGCGCACGCCTTTAAACCCAGCACTTGGGAGGCAGAGGCAGGTGGATCTCTGTGAGTTTGAGGCCAGCCTGGTCTACAAGAGCTAGTTCCAGGACAGGCTCCAAAGCTACAGAGAAACCCTGTCTGGAAAAGCCAAAAAAAAAAAAAAAAAAAAAAAAAGTCCTCAGTGGGAGCCACTGAGCCCACTGTATATAGGGAACTGTGTTCTGTCTGCCCCCCTCCCCGTTTGTTTTTTTTTTTTCCCCCAAAGTTCCATGTTAGCTTGGAGTGGTGCTCTTCTTTTTTCTATTATTGGCTAATAAAGAAACATTAAAAATACCTTAAAGAGCAGCCATAATAGAGGAAAACTCCCCTTCTACTCTTTTTTTAATTTTAAATCTTGTGTTGTGCATTGTGTTTTGCCTGTGTAAGGGGGATCAGATCCCCTGGAACTGTAGTTGCAGATAGTCGTGAGCTGCCATTTGGGTGCTGGGAATTGAACCCAGGTCCTCTAGAACAATCAGTACTCTTGACTGCTGAGCCATCTCTCTAGCCCCTCTCTCCCATCCTGTCCTTGGGATGTATCTTAGGAAATGTGCTTCCCTCCCATGGCTTCTCCATCTCTCAGCATAGACTGGGATGTAGGCAGCTTCCTTTCTACCCCTGGGAATGTCACTCTGTTTTCGCTGAGAATGCAAGCTTATTTCTGTCTCCTTAGCTAAAGAAGACTTATTCTTCTGGTGTGGTGTTGATGATTAACCCCAGAACCTTGTACTAGGAGAAGTTTGTGCTTGTCTTTTCCTTCTTTTTTTTTTTTCTTTTCTTTTTTCTTTTGAGTCAGGATCTCACTATGCAACTATGCAGCCCTGGTTGGCCTGACACTCTATGTGGACCAGGCTAACATGGAACCTAGAGAGGTATACCTGCCTCTGCCCTGAAAGCTGGGATTAAAGGTATGAGTTACCATGCCCAAATATGAGTGTTGCTTTTATTTTGTTTTATTTTTTGTTTTTGAGACAGGGTTTCTCTGTGTAGCCCTGGCTGTCCTGGAACTTGCTTTGTAGACCACACTGGCCTCTAACTCAGAGATCCACCTGCCTCTGCCTCCCTAGTGCTGGGATTAAAGGTGTGTGCCGCCACCTCCTGGCTCCAAAGAGAGTTTTATATTTTTACTTACCTATTTAAACTTTATTTTTATTTTTGTGTATGGGTGTTTTGCCTGCATGTGTGTGTACCCTGTACACACAGTAGCTGGCAGAGTGTCGAATCTCCTGGAACTCAAGTTAGAGAAGGCTGTCTCTATGTGTGAGAACAGGTGCTCTTTACTACTGAAGCATCGCTCCAGTTCTAGTTTTTTGTTTCTTTGTTTTTGTTTTGTTTTGTTTCGTTTTTGAGACAGGGTTTCTCTGTATATCTTTGGAGCCTGTCCTGGAACCTCGCTTTATAGACCTGGCTGTCCTTAAACTCATAGAGACCCACCTGCCTCTGCCTCCTGAGTGCTGAACCCAGCCTCCAATTCTACTTTTTTTTTTCTAACATAAATTGTTAGATTATGGGGATGGAGAGGTAGCTCAGAGGTTAAGAGCACTGACTGCTCTTCCAGAGGTCCTGAGTTCAATTCCCAGCAACCACATGGTAGCTCACAACTATCTGTAATGAGATTTAATGCCCTCTCTGGCCTGCAGGCATACATGCAGGCAGGACATTGTATACATAATATATAAATCTTTAAAAATATTTTTGTTAGATTGCTTTCTTCCTAATATAAACAACACAAATCAAAGATTCCCCTTGTGTGTTTGAAATGGTCTGTGATCTCCATTGTCATGGAGGGAGTAGGCTGATAGGTGGTCCCCGGGGCTGTGAAAGGAAGCACCTCCACCGAGGATGGAGATACATTTTTGTGTTAGGTCAGGCAGATAGTAGCTACTGCTTCCCTGTTTTGCTAGGGATGCACAGCTTCCTGTCCTGACTCTTTTTGCACAGAATCAGCTTAAAATGGCACGTTTCACCATCGTGGATGGGAAGACAGGGAAAGGAGTCAGCTTCCAAGATGTGGCAGGAATGCATGAAGCCAAACTGGAAGTCCGAGAATTTGTGGATTATCTGAAGGTGAGAGTCATATGTTAAGGCCATTAAAGATGGGAGTAGGTGGTGACATCTTCTCTCCAAGAAGGAAGGTGGGATGAGCAGACTCTGAGACTGGAGCTGGCTCCATGAGCTAGCTGTTATTTGTTAAGGTACCACTCTCAGCATATAGGTATGATGTTCTATACCTGGGAAACCAACAGCATTGCCCAGTGTGCAGTTGGCCATCAAAGGAGAAGAGTGTAATAGTTCACTTCAGCTAGGCCATCTTTTCTTTTGGCGCTGAAAGCCTATGAAGCTTTGTTTTTCTGGATCCCTGAGACTGTAGCTGATTCACGACTGTCATAGGTTCTCTTCATATGAGTCCCTTAAACATGAAAAGCTGAGTACTTAGTGTCACATGTCTGTTCCTCACTAGAGCCCAGAACGCTTCCTTCAGCTTGGTGCCAAGGTTCCAAAGGGTGCCCTATTGCTGGGACCTCCTGGTTGTGGGAAGACGCTGTTGGCCAAGGCAGTAGCTACAGAGGCTCAAGTGCCCTTTCTAGCAATGGCTGGCTCAGAGTTTGTAGAGGTCATTGGAGGTATGTATGGGCTGGAAGTAAGAGCAGGTTTATTGGCCTAGTGCCTGGGGAGGTTTTTCATATAACCCTCGCTAACATGGGGAGCTGAGTGGAACAGAGAAGAACAAACATAGCCCAAGTTCAAATAAGCTTTGGTTCAAGCCAGGCAGAGGTGGCACACACCTTTAATTCCAGCACTCAGAAGCAGACACAGGTGAATCTCTTAAGTCTGAGGCCAGCCTGGTCTACAGAGTGAGTTCCAGGATATCCAGGGCTACACAGAAACCCTGTCTTTAAAACAAAACAAAACCAAAACAAAACAAAACAAAAGCTTTGACCCACATCTACTTGGCAGTTGTGTGTTTTGATTCCACTTTCATCTGTGGCTTGGGCGTTCTGGATGGGAAGACGGCACTCTGCTTCATCTGCAGAGAGTGGCCGGTTAGATATAGGCATCTTTGGTGGGAGATTTGCCTAGCTGTAACCCAAAAATAGTATTTGATTTCCTTCCTCTGCCTATCTCTTGACCCTCTGTGTCCCCTCAGGCCTGGGAGCTGCCCGTGTGCGAAGCCTCTTCAAGGAAGCCCGGGCCCGAGCCCCTTGCATAGTGTACATCGATGAGATCGATGCTGTGGGGAAGAAGCGGTCCACCTCCATGTCTGGCTTCTCCAACACAGAGGAAGAACAGACCCTCAACCAGCTCCTGGTCGAGATGGACGGTCAGTGCCACACATGCCTTACCATACACTGTACACCAGAGGAGACTAACCCTGTCAGAGTGACGGCCTTCAGGGCAGATGAACCTGGTGACATTTTTTTGTTCTAACTTCTGGAATATCACTGGAAGAGGTATTATTTTTTCTTTAGCCACTGTTACTTAGTGTTGTTCACTCCTGCCCTAGTGAGAACATTATGTAGAGAATAGTTTAGATGTTGATATCTAACAGCAAAGTCAGCTTAAGAATTGTCCATCCGTTTGCTACCTTTAACAAACGCCGCTTTCACAAGCTGGGCAATGTGGTGCATGCCTTTAATCTGAGCACTTGGGAGGCAGAGATGGGAATCTTTGTGAGTGTGGGATCAGCCCTATCTACAGAATGAGTTCCAGGACAGGCTCTAAGCTCTAAAGCTACAGAGAAACCCTGTCTCAAAAAAACCAAAAGAAAGCTGGGCAGTGGTAGTGCACACCTTTAATCCCAGCACTCGGGAAGCAGCGGCAGGTGGATCTCTGAATTCTTCGAGGCCAGCCTGGTCTACAAGGGGGTAACCCTCCTTGCAGGACAGTTATGTTAAAGACATCTTTTGGGGCAACTGTGATGTGTGTTTTTGATTTTTTGAGACAGGGTTTCTCTGTGTAACAGCCCTGACTGTCCTGAATCTTACTTTGTAGACCAGGCTGACCTCAAACTCACGGAGTCTGCCTGCCTTTGCCTCCTGAGTGCTGGGATGAAAGGCCCGCACCCCCACACCTGGCTTATATGTTGTGTGTATGTGTGTATGATGTATTCTTAAGGCCAGGTGAGGCATTTATTTTGGGAGGAACAGTTTAATAATATGATCCTCAAGGCAGTCAGAGTAACACATCACATCCATGTTGGAGAGCGATGGGAGAGGACACATGATGTCTTCCTTCGGCCTTCATACACAGGTCCATGCTTGCACCTCCATGCGCATGCCTATGTTTGCACTCCTCACACACAGAGGCATGTGAGAGTTCAACTCCTAGCTGTAGTGATGTCAGAGGGGCTGGTGCATCCTGGAAGTTATTTCATGAACTGTAAAGTTGCTACAGCTTTAAAAATCAAAGGAGCTGGGCAGTGGTGGCGCAAGCCTTTAATCCCAGCACTCGGGAGGCAGAGGCAGGTGGATCTCTGTGAGTTCGAGACCAGCCTGGTCTACAAGAGCTAGTTCCAGGACAGGCTCCAAAACCGCAGAGAAACCCTGTCTCGAAAGACCAATAATAATAATAATAATAATGATAATAATAATAATAAAAATCAAAAGATAGGCTGGTACTGATGGTGCACACCTTTAATCCTAGCACTCGAGAGGCAGAGGAAGGCAGATCTTTGTGAGTTCAAGGCCAGTTCTAGCATAGCTAGGGCAACACAGAGAAACCCTGTCTTGAAAAAAACTTAAAAAAAAAAAACTAAAAAAAATATCAAAGGATACTTCAGGCAGTGGTGGTGCACAACTTTAATCCCAGCACTTAGGAGTCAGAGGCAGGCACATCTCTGTGAGTTTGAGGCCAACCTGGTCTACAGAGCAAGTTCTAGGACATCTAGGACTACTTAGAGAAACCCTGGCTCAAAAAGACCTAAACCAATCAGTCCATCAGTGGATAGTTCTAACACTGAAGAGAACAGGCACTGTGTTGTTGAGATGGTGTGAGAATGGCTGCAAACAGAGCTGCCCACAGCCCTGCCTTTCCTGGCCCTTTTCTTGTCCAGTTGTCTGTCCACATATTAGTTCAGAGCCCGTGGCAGGAACAACACCTACCCCAGCAGCTGCTTTGCGCTGACAGCAAGTGCTCAGGGTCCAGTTCCCAGAGCACTAACTGCCTTGGGAGGTGTGGCTGGAGGACTGCTGGAGATTCCTGATTCTTTCAGACCAGGCCTTGGACCTGACATGATGGTTTGTCTTTCTTGTCTCAGCTATGGCTCTATGATTTATAAAGTGAGGTTGAACACATATCCCTCATCATTCTGAATTTTGACCAGGCATCCTTAATCATGAAGGAGACTCCAATAAACCATTCTCCTTGGGTGTCTTGCCCCCTCAATGATATATTTTATTTAAATGGGGGCTTAAATGGATTTCATAACCTTACTATTGAACTAGAAAAGAAAATCTGTTAACCAGTGTGTTACCTCACTCAGCTTGACGACAGAGGCTATCTTTTTCAAGAGATCTGAGTCTACTAGAAAGCATGACATTTTTCTGAGCTGAATTTCTCTGAACGACCATAAAAATAGCTGTTTGTCCCCCAGGGTTGGCTGAGGAACTGGTTGCTTGTCAGCTTGGCCCAGCACTAACAAGTCTCTCTGTGTCCTCACAGCTGTGTACACTGGCTCCTTCAGACGCTCTGAGACTAGTCTTTGTTGTCTCCTCAGGAAGAGCACTTTCTGTTCATTGACGTGCAGGGGAGTGAGTTGAGCGGATGTGGTGCTGGGCATGGGAAAACTCCCCAGGGAATAAGAAATCCTAGTCACAGAGGCCTAAGCACAGGTGCTGTGGGCATTTCTGGGACTGTAAAGCTACACAAGAGAGCCTGAGGCATGCGCCCCAGCCACCCACCTGGTGACCACACAGTCACTTGGCTGAAGGTGTATTCTTAAGAAAAGGACTTTTTGGAGTGGGGCGCTTTTGAGACAGGGTTTCTCTGTGTAAAAATCCTGGCTATCCTGGAACTCTCCCCGTAAACCAGGCTGGCCTCGAACTCACAGACATCTGCCTGCCTCTGCCTCTCCAGTGCAGGGATTAAAGGCATGCATCACCACCACTGCCCAGAGCAAGAACTTTTTAACGTGGGTGGTATATATTGTACAAGTTTTTGTTTGGGGAATGCTAATTTCACATAGGAGTCATTTTAAAATCTTAACAGGGCCAACCATGGTGGTTCACACTCTTAATTCCAGTACTTGGGAGGCAGAGGCAGGTGGATTTCTGTGAGTTTAAGGCAAGCCTGGTTGTGGCAAGTTTCAGGCTAGCCAGAACTACATAGTTTTTCTGGATACCCGCATCTCCAGACCAAAAGTTAGAAGTGAACACTTGAGTGAGAGAGTCTGCTCTGTCTGGGAATTGACTGCTATGTTGGTGCTGTGTGGTAATAAATGCCTGTTACTGATGTTGTCATGGTATGGCCAATTTCTCTCTTTTTATTTTATTTATTTGTTTGTTTGTTTGTTTATTTATTTATTTATTTTCGGGATAGGTTGCTCTGTAGTTTCTGAGCCTGTCCTGGAACTAGCACTTGTAGACTAGTCTGTCCTCGAACTCACAGAGATACGCCTATCTCTGCCTCCCAATTGCTGGGATTAAAGGTATGCGCCACCACAGCCTGGTTCCGCTCCTCACATCTCTGTTGTGTCATTGACCAGCTAAGCAGCTCGTGTGTCTGTGTCTGTTCCCCATTCTACTCCCACACAGAGCCTCTCCCCAGCCTAGCTGGTTTGAGAGCCTTAGGGGATTCTTCCACCTCCAATACCCATAGGAGTGATAGGATTATAGAAGCTTGTGCTATGCTTCTGGATTTTGCATGAGTTCTGAGAATTCAGACTCAGGTCCTCATCCTACATAGCAAATGTTTTTGTTTTTTGTTTTTTTGTTTTTTGTTTTTTTCCCTAAATGTTTCTAGTCCTGTTGTAGTTTTTTGCTTTGTTTTTATTAGTTTGTTTTTAGGGCTGTGGGGGAGGGGCAAAGTCTTACTGTGTAGCCCTAGCTGGCCTGGATCTCATAGAGATTCATTTGCCTCTACCTCCAATTAAAGGCGTGTGTCATCATGCTCTGCTTTTTTGTTTGTTCGTTTGTTTTTAGATTTATTTATTCATGTGCTGGGTAGTAGTGTCGCACACCTTTATTCCAGCACTCAGGAGGCAGACACAGATGAATCTCTGTGAGTTCGAGGCCAGCCTGGTCTACAGAGAGAATTGCAGGACAGGCTTCAAGGCTACAGAGAAACCCAATCTTGAAAAACCAAAAAATAAGTTATTAAAAAAAAATTTATTAATTATGTATACAGTGTTATATCTTTGTATGCCTGCGGGCTAGAAGAGGGCACCAGTTCATGTGAGCCACCATGTGGTTACTGAGAATTGAACTCAGGACCTCTGGAAGAACAGCCAGTGCTCTTAACTGCTGAGCCATCTCTCTGGTCCCTTGTGGTCTAGGCTGGCTTTGAGCCCCTTGTGTAATTCAGGATGACTTTGAAGTTCTGGTCCTCTTATCGCTCTCTGAAGTGATGGGAATGCAGATATGTGCCATCTACCTGGCTCCTTAATTTATTTTTTATTTTATTTTATTTTTTTTTAATATTTTATTTATTTATT